CCGTGCGCCTGCGCAGTGCGCTGCGGGCTCTTCTGGGGCGAGCGCAGCTCGGAGACGGCTGGTGAGAGGGGCGGGGCTGACCCCCCGCAGGGGGCGCCCGGGGGGGCGCGCGGGCCCCCCCTCCCGGTGGGGGGGCTGTGCTGCGGGCACGTGTGTGCGTGCGCGTGCACACGTGCGTGTCTGCACATGTGTGCGCCTGCATGCACCTGAGCCTGCGTGTGCACGCCTGCCCACACGTGTGTGCCTGCTCCGAGCCTCTTGGGGTGCTCCAGAGGCCCTTGGGTGTGAGCCGGGAGTCGTGCAAAAGCTAGAGTAACTGGAGCGCGTGTGGCGTAGCGAGCACAGCTCCGCTGTCGAGTTTCGGCTCAGCCCGTCCTGCAGCGCAGAGGGGTCGCGCTGCGCGGGGGCCGGTCTAGCCACAGCGTCCAGCCTTCGGTGCCCGGTCCTCCCCCGTCGGGGAGCCTCGCTGTTTTGCCTTGTACTGATCACACCCTCCTCCGGCCGCAGACACTTGTTCGGGGGCAGTCGGAGAGCAGCCGTGCAGCATGGCGGACAGAAAGCGCCTGGCCTACTCCATCATCCAGTTTCTACACGACCAGCTGCAGAACGGGGGGCTGTCCCCCGACGCCCAGGAGAGCTTGGAAGGTAGGCGGCTGCGTGCTCTGCCCCGGCCCTGCCTCCCTCCCTCCTGAGCTGGGCTGTCCGGGCCGGGGCTCAGCGTCTCCGATGGGCTTCTTGCTTGGTTGTGCAACTCCCTTCTGGCCTAGTACTGATGCTTTCCTAATAACCATTCGTAGATGTTAGGGTCGGAAGGGACCTCAATAGATCATCGAGTCCGACCCCCTGCATGGGCAGGAAGGAGCCCGTTCCAGACCTTGGCCACTCTAACTGTGAAGTTCTTCCTAATGTCCAATCTAAATCTGCTTTCTGCTAGCTTGTGGCCATTATTTCTTGTAACCCCCAGGGGCGCCTTGGTGAATAAAACCTCACCAATTCCCTTCTGTGCCCCCGTGATGAACTTATAGGCAGCCACAAGGTCGCCTCTCAACCTTCTCTTGCAGAGGCTGAAAAGGTCCAGTTTCTCTAGTCTCTCCTCGTAGGGCTTGGTCTGCAAGCCCTTAACCATACGAGTGGCCCTTCTCTGGGCCCTCTCCAGGTTATCCGCATCCCTCTTGAAGTGTGGCGCCCAGAATTGCACGCAGTACTCCAACTGCGGTCTGACCAGCGCCCGATAGAGGGGAAGTATCACCTCCTTGGACCTGTTCGTCATGCATCTGCTGATGCACGATAAAGTGCCATTGGCTTTTCTGATGGCTTCGTCACACTGCCGGCTCATGTTCATCTTGGAGTCCAGTAGGACGCCAAGATCCCTTTCCACTTCCGTGCCACCCAGCAGGTCATTCCCTAGGCTGTAGGTGTGCTGGACATTTTTCCTCCCTAGGTGCAGCACTTTGCATTTCTCCTTGTTGAACTGCATTCTGTTGTTTTCCGCCCACTTGTCCAACCTGTCCAGGTCTGCTTGTTCTGCGTGAACCCTTGCAGCTCTTGGTGTGTCACAGGGAGAAGAGCAGCTTTCCAAACCACTAGCTAGGGGAGCAGCCAAAAAATATTACCATGTCCTGAGCTCACTTTGACCAGTGCCGGCTGGCTAGTAGTCGTCCTTTAGCAGCAGGACTGGGATTTTTCCCATCGGCATCCTGAGTCCAGACTCCAGGGGAGTGGAGCGGGGTTGAAACGCGGCTCTAGAAGGCAAGAGGAAATCTAAGTGTCCCCCTCTTTCCCCACCCAGTTGCAATCCAGTGCCTGGAGACGGCGTATGGTGTGTCCATGGAAGATCAAGGGCTGGCCGTGTCTCAGACCCTCCCTGAGATCTTTGAATTTGCTACAGGACGGGTGAGTGTCCTGCGGGGCAGAGCTGCGGATTCAGGATCGCTGTGAGAAATGCACGTGTGGCTCGGTTTCGAGGCTGCACTGTCCCCATGGGGGAGTTGGTGCTGGCAGCGTTTCACTCTGAAGGACCCAGCCTTGCAGGGGATTGTAGCGCTGGTTTGTAGCAGATGCTGGTGACACTAAATTATGCCTTTCTCTCCCCTTGGTGTTTACTAGGAGTCTCAGGACAGCAGGACGAGCTCCGAGCCGGTCACCCCTTCTGAAGAGGACATCACCGAAGCTGAACGTCTGAAGACTGAAGGTCGCGTCCTTGAGGGAGCTGCGTGGGCTGGGCTGAGCTGAGCATGGGTGTGGGTGACGGAGGGGTGTGTGCAGAGTGGAGGGAGGGCTCCCCTCACAAGGGGTCGGGGTGTGCTGTGCTGGAGCGGGCGCTTCCCCCTGTTCTGCACAGTTCCTTCTGAACCGGGGTGTGGAAACTAGGCGCCACGATGCTTGCCAGCCCTGAAGAACCGAAGGGCCAGGTCTAAGCCAGTGCGGGTACCACAGCTGGTAGGATGTCGCTGCCCTGGTCACGGTCCTGTTGGGAGCCTGCTGGGTTTGCCTGAGCTGTAGCTATAATCTGGAAGAGTGTTGGGCAAGTTGTTACCTTCTCCTGGTGCACAGTTTGCTTCCTGCGTGGCTCCACTTCCCAGCAGAATGGGCCCTGAATGGAAACGCTGCCCATTCTCTGACAGCCTGGCTTGATGGGTCTGTGGCTGGGGGGGGAGCAAGAAAAGCGGCAGTGAGAAGCCTCGATGGTGCCTTCAAAATGGGGAAGTAGAATCCATGTGCGAACTGGCAGGTTCCCTTCTGACATGGCTGTCGGTAGCTTAGAAGCACCGTCATACCAGGAGCAGCACAGTTGCCACAACAGACGTATCCGCGCTGTGTATGAACAGATCTCCTGCTCACTCATGTTCTAAGGCACTGGCAAAAGGCCAGAGCTTTCAGTCTTGTATCCCTGCTCCTTTTCTCATCGTTTTCTTTTTTTTAAACAGCCGCTTGGAAAGCTTGAGACCCTGCATCATCGTGGTGGGGTTTTGCCAAGTTTTAACTTATTATAGCAACACTATTTTTTTCCTTTTCAGGAAATGAGCAAATGAAGGCTGAAAACTTTGAAGCTGCCGTGTCGTTCTACAGCAGAGCGATCGAGTTAAATCCATCCAATGCCGTGTATTTTTGCAACAGGTACTGGCAGGGATCTTGTGCCTCATGTTTTTAGACTGTGCCTTTCCCTCTTTGTTGATGGGATGCTAACCTGGCCAAAGCCTTGATCTGACTCCTATCAGGCTGTTCTTGGTTTAGCAGAATCAGACGGTACATGATGAACTTTGTGCTGATCTTCTGTCCTTGGTTCTTGCCAGCCTTGTAACGCTGGCCGCTCTAAACAGGGCCTGGGTGTGAAAACTAGCTCCAAGAAGCACTTTGAGCTACGGGGTGGTCCATCATGCTGCCCGGCTTGATGTAAAATAGCCCTTTCTCGTCAAGGTAGGCAGCTTGGGTTGGAAAGATCCAGCATACCAGCACAGCAAAACAAAACGTGAGCAGAACTGAAGGCATTTTTCAGAGAGGTTCATGCGCTGCTGTGTGCCCAGCACGCAAAATATCTTACAGGCTTCAGCAAAAGGCAGTTAGACACAGTGGGAGATGCTCATTGACTGAAACAGGCTTTGGGACAGACCTCTTTCCCCCTAGCTTAAACACACAGTTGCTGTAATGGCATGCGTACACATGGCCGTCGAGATAACCTCATCACACACATCCTAGACTCCTAGAACATGAGGGTTGGAAGGGACCTCAGGAGGTCACATCTAGACCAGCGCCCTGGGGCCATCCCCAACTAGATCATCCCAGCCAAGGCTTTGTCAAGCTGGGCCTTAAAAACCTCCAAGGATGGAGAATCCACAAACTCTCTAGGTAACCTGTTCCAGTGCTTCACCACCCTCCTAGTCTTTTCAGGAGTGCAGGTGCCCAACTTTTTTGCAGGGGACCTGGAGCAGAGTTCAGGCCCAAAAAGCTCTTTCTCTGCCTTCCCTCCAGGGCTGCTGCCTACAGTAAATTAGGGAACTACGCTGGAGCAGTAAGGGACTGTGAAAGAGCCATCAGCATCGATCCAAGCTACAGCAAAGCCTACGGCAGGATGGGGTAGGTCCTGGGCAGTGCTTCTCTTGGAGAGGCTTTCACCTCCAAATGGATGCAGGGTTTGTGATGGTGACACCCATCAGTGGTGTTCTACCCATGGCTTACCTGTCCATCTCTGGGTACGTAACTCATCGTCCTCTCTTCCTTGTGTTGCTGGCAGGTTGGCCCTTTCCAGTTTAAGTAAGCACACAGAAGCTGTGGAGTACTATAAAAAAGCCCTGGAGCTGGATCCGGATAACGACACATACAAGTCAAACCTGAAAATAGCCGAACAGAAAATGAGAGAGACCCCCAGTCCGGTATGTTTTTCCTTAGCTTATTTGGAGAGCAAAGCAAAGCATTAGGATGTTGTGGGGGGGGGAAGAGGTGTCTTCACTGTTAAAGACCAGCTGTTGGTCATTAGTGTCTCGCTTGGACGTGGGTACTGTTGGCTTGGGTTAAGTCTGGAGCATGGGTTTACCATGAAATTGGAGGAAAAAGAGTTTATAGAGTCTACCGTATTTCTAGTAATTGCTGAGAATAATTACCTTGCAGTGCCCTGAGCTCAGGCATGATAGCTGGGACATAAAACTGACTAGAAAAAGCAAAACTAAAACACTGAGTATAGCTGCCTGAGACAGCATTAACTTTTACTACCATTTAGTTCGGAGAGTAAATATTTGAAATCTCTCCCTTTTATACCAGTCATAATTAGCAAGAGGGAAGGGGTCTTTTGTAGTCTGATTTTTACCTTGAATATCACTTGAAGAGAAGAAAATCCTGCTGTAATGTGGCCTTAAAACTAAAGTCCTGATTGGGACTTTAGTAGAACTGAGACTCAATCTTGCAAGCCTTAGTTTATGTGGGTGCTGGATCTTTGCAAGTGTATAAACACAGAACCGTAAGTCAGGATCGTGCTTGGCTTTGTCGTGGTTTAAGTGGCAAGACTTTATGCAGAACAATTTGCACCTGTAGCAGAGAACAGAACAAGCTGCATTCTGCTTTGAGGCACACCCCTTGGATCAGTGGCAGGGGACATCTTAAGGCATTAGGAGGTGCTCTGATTTGTCCTCGTGTCTGACTGCATGGCGTTGTGCTTTCCTCTTGCAGACTGGAGGTACGGGAGGGTTCGACTTAGCCGGCTTGCTGAACAACCCCAGCTTCATGAGCATGGTGAGTGTGTGTGGTAAAGCGTGGTCAGTTTGCATTGGATCTGTCTGGAATGAAGCAAGCGGGTGGGCTTCCGTTCAATCCAGATCCCTTTGCGGAGGCTGAATGTACATCTTAGTATGGCTACAGAGCCAGGCCTTACTTGGAGGCTGTTCACCGCAGCGCAGGAGGGATGGGAGCACTCTGTGTTCCCAGCTTTGGCCTGGGCATTGTGCTGTTTGCACCCATGTTCTGCTACAAGTGAAAATTGTTCTGCATAAAGTCTTGCTGTTTGGCAGTGCTTCCCTGTTAACACAGTTTGAAGCATTTCTGTCATTGTGTTGCCAGCAGAGTCCAGCGGCCCATCGACTGTCTGTGTGCACAGGTGTTTCTGATGGGGTTGGGGTGGTGCGGGTACTAAGGCGACAGTTGACAGCCCAGAGGTTGCAAGTTTGAGGCTAGAGCAGAAGCCCTCACTGCATGGCCATGTCAGACTCCAGCGAATCTACAAATTCTGCTAAATACCTTGTAACAAAGACAAACACACAAAGAAAGGATGGCCAGGAATATGAACTGTTTGTTTTTTTCCTTTTCAAACAGGCATCTAACCTCATGAACAACCCACAAGTGCAGCAGCTGTAAGTACAATCCCACCTCATTCTTCCTCCAAGTCACTGTCTTCAGGCTTTGCATCGGTTGGCCTTTGGGTGAGGCTGGGCGTGGGTACTGGAGGGACTCGGGTTAGAAACACAGCTGTAGGTGTATAAAAGCTGGCTCTGCCACCGATTGCTTGTAGGACCTCGGGCAGGTCCCTTCATATCTGTTTCTGTTCCTCACTGTAACAGAGGGGTAAGGAGGGATGTGAGGATAAATTCATGGATGTCTGTGTGATGCCCACGTGTCTAAATGCTCAAACAAGACTCCTGAGGGGTTGATCAGGGGT